ATTGCCTTTCCTTGCACCTCACAGCAGGAGGCGGCGGGGTCCTGCTCTTGGCGCATGTGGTTGCTCCTGCTTGGTATTCACGGGCACATGCCTCTGCCTGATGATATATTATTATTATTGGGCTGGAAGAAAAATAACGCAACCAAGGTCTTATTATTTTCTCCTTTTATCTGTTTAGTCATATTAATGTGGGATCATCGTTACATAAATGAACAGGAGATGCAGTCAAGGACATGTTCATTTTTAAAGTCCTCCGATGCTCTTGTACTTCAGTCATTCGTCTTCTGTCTTTAATTACAGCAAGTGATCTCAGAGGCACTTAAAAGATTAAATTACTCAATTATTTGAAAAACCCAAATGCAATAACTGTATCTTTTTGCTGATAAATACCAGCCATTGCTGGAAAAGGTTGCCCAAGGCAAAACATATTGGGAGGCTAAGCAGGCCATATTGTAACATTTTTACTTAACCCAGTGATACACTTTTAATTTTTCATCATTTGCAACCTTTGTTTTTATTTGTATGAGTAATAACCACAAACTTTTCCATTGCTGTCCTGGTGGTTTCAGCAGTGCGATGAATGTCACTGCCCGGCACTTTACAAGTGTCTTGGCATCTCCTTGGCTGTGGAGAGAAGGACATGAGGACAGCCATGGGTTAAAAAGGCTGGACATCAGCATGGCCAGGCAGTGGTGGTGCTTGTGTGTGAGGGATGCTTCAGTGTTTGGGAAAGGGATGTAATTAAAACACAGGTGGTGGCTCTCTCCATGATGAGGTGCGTAGGTTCCCTGTTGTCAAAGGTGAGCATCCACGCTGTGCTAGTGGGCAGGCTGGCTTGGGCTCCCCAGCCTTGTAGGAAACAGGAAAGAGGGACAAAACCTGGCTCTGAAATGTTCTGGGTGTCCCATGGCCGCAGAGGGAGCTGTTGGTGTGCCCTGCAAGTGGGCATTGCTGCCGATACTGCATCAATGCATCTGCAGCAGCAAAGTTTGTCCTTCCTGACCAGCTGCCCTATTGCTCACTGGGGATCCCAGCCACTGAACAATGGGAAGTTTTCCCTAAAGAATTTTTTTTTTTTTTGTCTCTTTTGCAAAGCAACAGATAGGGTTGAGCCCAGTTCTGTGAGCCTGGCTAAGGCACTTGTGTAATTCCTCCTCTCTGGGCCGGGAGAAATGGGACGTGACTCTTCAGAGAAAGAGAAAGCCAGGCTAAAAAGTTAAAATGCTGTACTTCCTCTTCATAGGTCCAATGTCCCATGAACTATGAGTTCCTGTCCTGCTGGGCACCAGACAACACTAGGCAAAATGCCAGAGTAGCCATGAACCCAGAGTGCTCTACACTTTGGCCATGGTGGGCTCCTTTCTCCTGCTGGTTGGCCAGCAGTGAGGCACAGGGATGGGTTTTTGGTGTTGATAAAAAGTTCCTGCTTTGGACTACCCCCATGGTAAATGTCTAAACTGAAAGAGTCTGGGTGCAGAGGAAGGACTTGCTGTTTTTTGTCAAGCCAGACCAGCTGTGGTACTTCATGTCCTACTGGCATGAAGAGCAAGCCTGGTATTAGCAGGGAGCAGTGGGGTGACCATGTGGGCTGGCAGACCCTGGGTGGGTCTGGGGTCAGGCTGCCCTCAGTCCCACACACGTGGTGGGGCACTGCTGGCCCGCAGATGCTGTTGCTGAGAGGGTTACTGTCCTCTGCTCCACCACCTGTGGTTCCCACATTTATTTCATTAAAAACAAAACAACAAAAAGAGTAAGTAATTTGATACACATCCTCTCAAGGATCGGCAAGGAGCAGGCCAGTGGTCTGGGGGAGGACAGATGGCCCTGCGGCTAATTTGCTCCCATAAATCGCAAGCTGTTGCAAATGCTCACTGTAGTAAGTGCTGGCTCTGTGTTTGTGGCCATGTGTCTATCTTGGGGCTGCTATGAGCAGGAGATAGAGCAGAATCTGTAGTTTTAAGCTGCATTTCCCTTATGTTATTTGCAGAATTGAGCATTTTGATTAAGAAATAAGCTGCAATCCTGTAGCTGGCTGCCAGCAGAGCTCCATGCAACTGCTCTTACAGCAGAACCAGGTATTCTCTTGTTGAAGCACCTGCACAGCCAGGAACTCATCCTGTCCCCTTGCAAACTGCTGCTAAGGACCTGCACATTGCAGTGGAAGTCTCTGCTCAAGGCACAGAACAGTTCACTGTCTCTCCATCTTGTGGGATTTGCATCCCTGGGAGAGGATCAAAAGCCTCAGCTTGTCATTGCAGTGGGACTGAGGCTTATGGTTATTTCAGTGCTCTGGCCTTCCTGAAGAGAAGCAGAAATGATCTCTCCTCACCCTGGAGTTTTGTCCTCATTGTGGGACACAGGACATTTTGTACTCAAGCTCTGGCAGGCTGGCCATGCCTCACTCCCTTGTTGCAGCTGGAGCTGGGACCACTGACCACCTGGCCATGGTCACCCTGCCCTAAAGGCTGTGTCCTCCTGTGCATCCTGGGCTGGGTTAGCAGGTGCAGGCTGGAGCCCAGCCTGCAGGCAGGCATGTAGGGACTGTAGGAGACAGAGGGTATGCTGGGCTCAAGGACTGGCAGTGGAAAATAACTACCTGTGGGAGGTCAGTATTAAGGTTTTGGGATAGAGATCCTTGTTTCAGAGTCAAAGGAGTGGAAGGAGCTAAGTGTCCAGGTTATTTTTCTGCAAGAGATGCTGGCCTTTATCAGAGGCAAGAGGCTCTGGTGTCTGGGACCTGCTGTGAGGTTAGGGAGGGTATCTCAAATGTGTGAGACCTCCCTAGCATCAGCCTATGTGGGACAGGCAAACTGATCTCTGCAGTGTTGTGACATTGTCGTTTACTCATTAACCCAGACCCACTGCTCTGGCCTGTGTTTGCCCTTGAGTTCCACACGTCCTTGTGTTTGCTGAGCAGTCTTGCACAATGAAGCAGGGCAGTCTGCAGTTGCACAGTGGGTTCTGCTCTGGGGGACTTGTTGGCTTTCTACATTGTATTGCTGAGTGGCCCAGGATATTGAGGGTCACAATTTGAAATGTACGTTTTAGGAAAATCTGAACACTTACCTTGTTATGAATCTGTGGCTTGATACCCTGTGTTCCTGGTCCTGTCACACCCTGATGTGTAACTGCATTGTAACAAGTCTGCCTGGCCTAGCACCCATCCAAATGAAGCCCATGTGCAGCTGTGGCTGACACACATCTGGCAAGGAGATGTGCTGTCATCGTGACATGATCATACTGAATTCCCATGGGATTGTGAGTGGGTCATGCTGCTTTCCGTCAGGCAAGGTCTGTGTTCACTCCCCAGCATTTTCACATCACGACTGAGCTGGAGCAGCAGTATGCGTTTTCATCCTCTCCTATCTGATTGGCAGGCTCCAGCAGTCTTCTGAATATTTATTCTGATATTTTCACCTCACAGTCATCTCAGGGTGCTCAGCCCATGCTCTTGTCTAACAACTACTGGAGAGCAGCGCCGCTTAGGCCTGCCAAAATCCTCTGAGGGTGATACTGGTTCTGCAGTGTATATGCATCAAGCAGAGGGATTTCCCTGCTAGTGACTCCTGCAAGGTGTTGTAGAGAGGATGGGTGTCCAAGAATTCAACACTCTAAAGTCTGTGCATACCAGGAGCTGAAATACCAGTGTTTTAGGGTTAACACAACCTCACTGCCTTGACATTGCTGCAGGTGGGTGTGAGGGAGAAATAAGAATGGGGAGTGCATGACATACAGTGGTTTTTTTTGCAAGAAAGGATGGACTTCCACAGCTGACCATCTCTGCCATGGCAGACAATTGGAAAAATTTGCTTTCTTTCAATCCAAATTTTAATACAAAGCTTTCTCTGAATGGTGGGACATAAAGGTTTATGCCCTCCTAGGTGGTCTCTCACAGCTGACTCTGTTTTCTGAGCCTCTGCTTCTTTCAGCAAGTCAAGAGAGAGTTGGAGGGACATAGGCACATGACCTGTTTACAGCTGCAACAGAGTTAATTTTATTTTTAAAAGCTGATACAGTGCTGTGCTTTGGGTTCAGTATGGGAATAATGTCGGTAACGCAGTGATGTTTTGGTGGTTGTTGTTAAGCAGCTCTCACCCTAAGTCAAGGACTTCTCAGTTTCCCATGCCCTGCCAGTGAGGAGCTGCACAAGAAGCTGGGAGGGAGCATGGCCAGGACAGCTGACCCAAACTGGCCAAAGGGATATCCCATACCATAGAACATCATGACCAGTATATAAACTGGAGGAGTTGTCTGGGGGGACAGTTGCTGCTCAGGAATGGGCTGGGCATCAGTCAGTGGGTGGTGAGCAACTGTACTGTGCATCATTTATGTTTCTTGGGTTTTATTCTTCTCTTTTTTATTCCCTCGTTGTTGTTAATAATAGCAATAATAACAATAATAACAATATTTATTAGTAACAACAACAATAATAATTTTGCTTTATTTCAATTATGGAACTATTCTTATCTCAACTCATAGGTTTTACCTTTTTCTGATTCTTTTCCCTATCCCTCCAGGTGGTGGGATAGAGAGTGGCACTTAGTTGCCAGCTGGGGTTATACCACAACACCCATCCAAAGGAACATTTAATCCATCTGCAGAATGTGTAAGACAAAAACCAATCACTATCATGCCACTGCACCTTTTACTCTTTTGCAATGGCTTGATGGATTTGAGAAGGCTAATGTCCATGTGAACCCATCACTCACCCTCCCAGCTTCAGTCACTCTGTGAACCTAGACCTAAATTATTGACAAGAATTTAGATGCAGAAACATGGCTGAATTTGGAAAACAATCTTTGCCGTGAAGGTCGTGTATACATAAGGATACTACAGGCTAAGTATAATGGACAACAATATAATTTTGAGCCTGCAGTCCTTACTGAAGTACCACACCAGAACAGTTTAGTGTATAGCACGCTGCAATAAAGAAATCAAGGGCTTAAATGCAGCATTTCTTGAGCCAATGGATGAAAAAAGAGCACAAAGAAACACAATTCTTTAGTGTATGCAAATTTATTCAACTCTGAAATTACTTATTTACAACTAATGACTGATACCAACAGATGAGGTAAAAATATGAGGTATTGATATGAGTATAACATTTAAAAATGCAATTATCATAATGTATCAATGTAACAATACAAAATACTGTGGTAACTGAATGGTAGACATGGCATAATGTGCATTTTGAAGAAATCTTATTTCAACAATAAATGGCTTGGAGATGCCAGAAGCTCATGACAGAGCTTCTGCAAGGGCAGGACAACAACCCTACTTTGCTAAGGGTGGCAGGTGGCACAGGGCCTCTTCTAGCTGAGCAATGACTTGTGAGACAGGATAAAACTGCCCAGGTTTTCCCTTCTTTTCCTTAAGACATTATTTATTGCCAGACACTGCCATTCCCAGGGCTAGAAATTCTGTGCCTGTTAATGCTGTGGCACTGTTATATTTATTTATGTAAACTAATGTAGCAGAAGTACTCTAATTGCTCATGTTTTGGAAAACAGCCGGCATGAAATCTGCTGCCATGGCCACAGGCATCTGGGAGGAGGTGGTGCTTCCTGGAATGGCATTCCCAGCTAGGGAGGCACTGTTTGCTCCTGGGAAGGCTGAGCCTGGGCAGTGGTGGTGCCCTGCAGCCAGCCTGTGACTGCCAGACCCCACTACGGCCATGTAAGGGCCCTGTGAGTGCTCCCCTGTCTGCAGACTTAAAGCTCGTGACAGCTGCACACTGCAACTATTGTTGGCCATGAACTCGAGGCAGGAGCTCCCAGGCAGCCAACATCCCTGATCCTGGGTCTTGCACAAAAAAACATGAGTGACACAGCTCATGGGGAAGAGGACAGTGACTTTTTTGAATCCTGCTCCTTCACAAGGAAATGCACTGTGGGTCACCTTGGGTTACCCTGTCCACCCTGAACTCCCACAGGTCTGCTTCCTCAGCTCACAGGGCTGTCCCCTGCCAGCACAGCCCCCACGTGTGTGCAGGATGGCACGTGGGGTCATGCTCTAGCAGCTGTCAGCAAACACAGTCCCACACCTGGGGAATGTTCAGAGCTTTGGCCTTGGAGAGACTTCCTCATTCACTGAGTCAGGGCACAAAGCTGTAGCTTTACATAGGAAATGCATCCTGCCTAATCGACCTCATACTAATCTTTCTGGATTTTGTTGGTAGGACTGAGCTGAAACCCTGGCTGTGAGTGACTCCGCTGGTTTATGCAGCAATAAATAAAGTCTAAGTGAACAAATGCGATTAATGAACAGTATTAACAGGCCTGTACATTCTTACTGAGTCATAGATGTAATAACATTTTGGTTGTAGGTTAGTTAAAAACAAAATAGAACCCTGCCTCAAAGGCAATGTCGACAAATTATTATTATTACTTTTAAAGCATTCTTCCATTAGCAAAATAATAGGTCCCTGAAAATGAAATTATATAATAGGCTTAAATGGCTCCTACTCCTCATAGTCCTAATCCTGCTCCCACCAATGCCTAGAGAGGTGGGATCATGCAGATCAGTGCAATATAAGATGAAAATACTTGCTGTTACTATAAAAGCAATCTTTCCAAGAATAGCATTTATTTAGTCTTTTAAATCTCCAGGATGTGTTTAAAATTTTAAAAAAGCATAGTTATTTGTATAGTAAGAGTATTAAAAGGCATGGTGTTCATCTGCACGTCTTTGTGTCCACTGGATGTGGAAAACCTGCTTTGGATTAGCCATCTCTACGGGGGAAGGAAAGAACACAGAAACACTCAGAACCTAGACAAAATGCTTACAAAAAAGAATTAATTTACAGCTTAATAAGTTACCAGTCTGGGTTCAACCATCTCAGGACACACAGCATTACCTCGGGCTGTCTGAGGATGAGCAGTTACCTGGAGCACTGCACACAGTGAGGTTCTCTACTGACAGACACCAGTCATTAAGGCAACAGGTAAGTGTTCAACACTTTCTACTAAAAGTCACAGTTCTGCAGCTGAACATAAATGGCCTCCACAGCGTCTGTCTCAGATGCATCTCCATGTATTTTATTTGGTGAGACTGAGTCCTTCCTCATTATTTTTAAATGCACTGTAACCTCCTTCTTCCTTAGTTCCTGTAATTCTTCCTACATCTATTTCTAGGTACCTTCTCATAGCACACACAAACACAAAACATATTTGAGAACAGGTGTTTGTTATCACACGAATTATGCCTGGTAGCCCTGTGATAACAGCACACACAGCTTATGTAGGAGTGACACACTAAGAAACAAGTGACAGATCCACTTAAGGTCCAACTGATGCAAGTGATTTGCACTGAGTTATATACAAAATAATTAATTTATACATATACATATATATAGATAGAATATAGATAAATATATACATACTGTACATTATTTATTTACAATTAAAATATGCTTCTTAGAAGCCTTTAAATACCAGAGTTATGTAACATACAAGCAATGGCAATAATCTGTTTTTAAAGTAATAAAAGCTCTCTGAAGAAATGTTTAGTTCAATAATCAAAATTAATACAGAGTGGATGGGGGGGAGGGGGGAAGTTGAATTCTCCAGAATAAAAGAACTTTCCTATAAAATTCCTTTTTCAGCTTTGTATAGACCCAGGGCTGGTCAGATTTCTGCAGTTTAAATAAGACCTTTGCTTTCAGTATTCCTGTTCCCTGCCAGACCCTGATTTACGCTCACGTGCTCCCAGGAACACTTCCTCAGATTTTTGTTTCTGGTCCCTCAGCAATCAGAGGTTGAAATGAGTTTCTGATCCTGGCAACTTCTGCTGCACACAGATGTCCAAAACCTTTGTTGTACCACTCTGGGGAATGTCCTCTAAAGAAATGAAAAGAGAATTATTGAGAAACTCAAGTACTCAAGAAACATGCCCCACAGAAATGTGCTTGCCATGCTTCCTGCTCCGCACTGCCCACGGTGGTGGTGGAGATTCAAATACTTGTCTTTTTAAGTGTACTCTGAAGTGCTCCCTTGCAGTAATCAAATAAGCAGATTCTATTTCTGAGCTCACGTCCTAACATTGGTAGGCACTGAGCGGAGAGAAAACACTGCAGGAAAACTCCAAAGCAGCAAAGCTACCCTAACCATGCCCTCTGTTCCCAACATCTCCCCTCCCTGAGCTTGAGGGTTTAGTCCTGCTGAGTGGGCATTACGTGGTGCAGGTGGGACACTTACTTTAGGTCAATCCTGCAGATGTGGGTCAGCCTGGCTTTTCCTGAGCCGCAGGGCTCTATCAGGTACTGGGAGTCCATTACGATGGCTCGCACAGCTCCCATGAGAGGAGCCTCTTCGTGCTCCACGGAGATGGCAACCAGCATGCACATCCCCTTGGGCAAATCCGTCCTCCATGTCCTGCAGGAACGCATGCAAGACAGAATCACATCAGCAATGAAACTTTTGGGCACGTAAGTAAGAACCAGAATTAAAGTTACAGTTTGCTTGTCTGCCTGTCCTTGTTGCCTACAACGCCAGTGCACTGTCCTAGGAGTCCCTGGTGGAGTTTCGTGCTCCCCAGCTGGTAGTCTGAGTGTGGTGTGGAATGGCAACCCATCTGTGTGGCTCCAGGTGGAGAAGTTTTGCTCCTCCACAGGTGTGTTTTGTAACCATTAGCATTCTAGAGCCTTTTGCAGTAAGACAAAAGGTTTGGAAAGGAGAAAGACCGAGGGTAAGCCATCTGGCAAAAGCTGAAACTGGGCATTGCACCCAAGCAAGCTTACAGAACAAGAAGTGCAGTTTAGAACAGCAGAAATTCTCACTGGTACCCAGAATATGTTTCAAGGGTTTCTAAATGAAAAAAAAAAAAAATAAATGTCCTTTCATTCATTTTCTCTCCCAAGTTCCTGGCCTCTCTTTCACGGAGAATTTTTCCACCAAGTTCAAGATACCTAGACTTTAATACTTAACATTTTTTTGCTGTTCTGTAAGCATTCTTTATATACCCGTATACATCTTTCTCATCTGCACTGAATCTCAGAGGATAGGTCTGTGCTCTTTCCTATGCTGTGGGAAGAAATGAGAAATTCCCACTGTGCTATGCAACATGCATCATCTTGCTATGGATTGTCTGAGCCAGGGATTATGCTTCCTTGGGAAGTATCATATTTTAGCAGGTAAGCTGCTTTCAAGGACTGTTCAAGTTTGGACTTCAGCAGATAATTTTAACATTATGAATTTTTCTTACATGAAATGGAGCTGTTATTCAAGACATTGCAGGAAGATACTGACCAGAAGGTTTTACTGTGCCTGGGCATTAATAAAATTGCTGAGCTATCTTGGCAGATAAAACACTTGGGAGAAGGAAATCACAGCTGAGACCCAGTAAGAGAAATGCTGAACCACCTCCTGCAAGCGCTCACACAGTTTTTAGATGTTCCCACATCATTTTGGTAACTACCCAGCACTACCTGGGCCATTTGGGAAGTGGAAAGTTCTCTATCCCAGAGGTTTCAGAAAACTTATGTCTCCTGTTCCCAGTCATATGGATTTAGGCCAGTTTCAGTAGTTCTTTAAATGCCTTACAGTAGTAAAATCAGGCATGGCACCTAAATCACCAAAATGCTGTCATACTTAATGAACATTAAGCACTTGTGGATTCTTTAATGAAAGTGATGCCTGTGCAGGGCAGCTGAGAGCTGTGTCGTATCCCAGGCATAAGAAACATTTCCCCTCTCCTCTTACCACCAGAGTCTTCCCTAGGGAGCCTAATCCCCTTGTTATGACTGTCACATTGAAAAAAAAAGGGAACAACTAAGTTGATCCTTTCACAGCCCAAAGTTTGACTGAGAAGGAGAAAATTGCCATCTGTTAAAATATATTTATTCAGGTCCCCAGAGGTGTATTATAATTTCACTGTTCACTTCCCACCAATCATAAGGTATCGAATTGACTGCGGTATTGCTGGCTAACCTTGCTCTAGACTTAATGATATCAATCAAAAGAGATAAACAACAGAATCTGACAGATCTGCCTGATGGCTGTTTTCAGCCCTTAAGAACCCACCAGGATTCATTTTTATGATATGTATTTCAGTCCTTGGGGGTCATTCTGCCTGGGTTAGTGAAAAGAATGAGAACTCGATAGCAGGATTTTCCTTTAACTGATGTGACTGCACAGCAGGTCCTTAAAGAACATAAACCACCACGAAACCTAATAGTGAACTAAGTGGCAAATGAGAGGACCAAATTACGGTCATCAAAACCTCCCCGCCGCTCACAGACGATCTTCTCGGTGCCATGCAGAGGGCCAAATTTATCACTGGTTCAAGCTAATGACGTTATATAAAAAGATTATTTATAAAACAATGATAGATACATAATTATATAAAATATATAACATATATTTGATTATAAAATAGTTAATTTAGCCCAGTATACCGTGGGAAGGCAAAGGAAACCGACTAATGGGAGCATTGGTTACAGAAAGCATTTTTTAAATCTTCCCCTAAGAGTTCCAATAATTCTTCCCTTATACCAACAATATCTGCATGTTGTCATCCTTTAAGAGACTACTAAGGTTCATAAAAGGGATGTACTTTCATAATTATATTTTATTTGGGTCATCTTTTTCCTTCAATCTTCATTCCCTTTAATACAATTCTGACTCCCTGGACTACTTCCTTTGTCAAAACTGCTTTGTCAAAACTCTGGCACATCATTTCAATCAAAGAAAGCAGGGACCAAAAATGGGAATGCTCAAAATCATCTTGAAATAAATAACTGTAGGACTGACCCTGTAAGTGAAATATGTCAGCAGCTCCACAATAGCTCCTAGCAAGCAAAGGCCAGGATTTCAAAGGCAGAAGGTGCATAACAGGGGCTTTTTTTGACTGTTCTGTGCAGGCAGATAGACAATGGCAGAACTGGGACTGAATGTGGAATATTGATACACAGCTATACATTTATTCGAGAGAACTCATCCCTTGGAAGAGAGAATACAAATCTACTGCCTCTTCCAGTTAATTTCCACACTAGGATTTTTATGGATCAGCATTTCTTCATTTACAAAGGTATCAACTGAAAATTTAAGATAATAACTTTATATAGACACTGTATAACAGCCTTAGCTTAAAAGCACCACTTTCTTCTCTTCTAAACATTTGGCTCTTAAACATCAAACATTCCCCTGAGAACAGCAAAAGCAGTGTAAAAAACAATTGGGTTCTATTTGCACTGTTTTGACAACAAACAAAGCTAAGAGAGAAGAGCAGCTATTATCAGACATCTGTTCTGAGGAAGAAATGATATTTATGGCCTCAGGAGTATGTGCTACTCAAATTACATCAGAGAAAAGGTCAGCATGCTCTAGGTGTACGACTAATTCAGTTTGAGAAATCAACACTGCTGCCCAGAAGTAGTGTTCCTGGAGAGCAATTACACAGATGTGAATGCTGAGATAAGTCCAGATCTTCCTTTATGCACTGCAGGAGGCAAAGGTACCAGAGAACTGCCCTGAGCTTACCTGAGAACGACAAAGTCTCGGACGGGGTGTGGAGCCATGCTGTTCAACACATACTGGTAAACTTCTGTCTGCTTGTCCAGGCTCTCCACCACCTTCCACTGCAAGAAGTCCTCGTCCCAGAGGTGGCGTTCTCTCAGCACTCGGTTCAGGACAACTGATGGGGGAGCTTCAACTTCAACTGAGGCTTTCCAAAGCCTTAGTGGGTTCCCATCTCCAACCTGGAGTGACCAAGAACACAAACCCCGATAACTTGCATGCCTATGTTCAGCAGATGATAACTGAGGACAAAATCTCAATGTGTGTGTCTGACTTCAGGTTAAGAGCATTCACATTTCCCTGCTAATCATTACTATTATTGCTATTGCAGCTGCTCTACTGGTCCTGGATGGAAATCTGAAATGATTCATTTTTCTGTTCTCACAACACAATATATCTGGACTAGCTCCCATAGTGCCAGTGAGGTTCGGCATTACTTCTGGTGTGACAGACACTTTTCCAAGTCCAGACATCCTAAGTGTAATGACAAATATGTGTCTGCAGAAGTAAACAGAGATGAGAGACTGAAACCCTGGGCTGAAATAAAGCAACTACCTTAGGCAATCTTTTACACTACCTGGGACTGAGGGTCCATTAACTCTCCTGCTTAATTCTGGGCGGGGAGTAGAACATACATTGATTCAGTTATATGTCAGGAGCACATATGTTTGCTCCTCAAAATAGCTGCAAGGGAGTTATTGGGAAACACCTTTCAAAGAGCACAGACTGATTGCTAACTCCTCCTTGCTCACAGATCCTGTTTCTTGAAATACCTCCACAGTTTACAGTAAGGGGAGTAAAAGTGCTGGGCTATGCTCAAGGTGAATATCCTAGATTGCACACATACAGCTTTTCTATATGGTTCTAGGGGTCCTGTTTCAGGTAGCAAACAAGTTAACTGTAATCACTGGATCCTGCTTTTCTAACCCTCCCCTACCCTACCGTTCCCATATACAAATGTGAGAACTTCAGAAGCCTCCAGTACCTCCCAAACAACATCCAGGATTATTTCCCCAGAAACCCACCTTCCACACCTCCCACCTTAAATTATTTCATGTTGTTGTAATTCTTTCTCCCCAAAGCTTTCAGTTCCCCACTTCCCCTGTCCTGGAGCCCCAGACTCCCAATCCCCTCTGTAGTCTCACAGGTCCTTGTCCACCGGCTGTACAGGCTTCTATTCCCTCTCACCCTTCTCCCACATCCTGCTCCCACCTGGCCCTGCTGGTCTGTCCCCAACCTCCCACAGTAGCTCCCTGGAGAGGTCACTCACAGAAGCTGGCTACAAACCACAGTAACTGCAATTTCTTTGCCCTGACAGAGGGGTTGCACTTTCCCATCCTGGGGTAATGCTGCCTCCTGCCCCTTCACCATCCAGATCTCACATTCCTCCCAGATCTCATGTTCCTTCTCCTGCCTAATTAGTGTCACCCACCCCTAATCCATCCCCTCCTCTTGCTAGCTGGTTTGGAGACCTAGGCTTTGCTGTTGCATTTCCAGCAGCCCTGAACTCCACTCTCTGCAGGGACCCTGCAGCACCCTTTGCCTCACTGCAGTGGCCTGTCTTTCCCTGAAGAAGTGATGGAGCCTAGAACAAATTCAAAAATTTTAATAAAAGCTGCAGTATCAAAAATCCATGTGAAGAAAAGGACAAAAGGATCAGGGATAGAACTGGCCTGCTTAAAAAAAACATAGGAGAGCCTGAAGAAGTTTTTTAATCACCTGTATTCTAGTTGTGTTCTCCAAACTGCTAGCAAACATCAAGAACTGGTCAGAAACTTTTCACGTCCCCCAGTCAAAGATGGTATTGCCCAGGTAATGTTCTCTGTTGTTTAACATCTCAGCTCACTCTCTGGTTGTGTTGTTTGCTGTATCTTGACCTATTTTGGAGACCCCAGCTTGCTCTGTGTGCCTTTTTCTGGAATCTCATACTTGAATCACTATTACATTACATTTCTAACTGCTTTTAGTAATCTTTTAAAAAAATACTAAATAAAAAAAGAGTGCCTTGCCAGAAAGAAGGGTGTGAGTTTTGCCATGCAACATGCCAGGGTGCCCCATAGCTGAGATGCATTTTGCTTTGATTTCTTTACTACTTCTTTCATGTCTCCTCAAATTACCTTTTTGTAGGCGAGTTCTGTGTTCTCTACACTGGAACATGTGACCCATCCTTTGAATTTCTCTTTTGCTTCTTTCTGGAGATTCTGCATGAGAGTTTCCAGGTACGTCTGATAGTTCCCTCCTTCCTCATCCACTTGTTTCCCAAGCTCGTCCAGGGTAGGAGAATGCACTTCTGCATCAACGTAGGAGTTTCGGGATTGGGTGATCATCTCGTGTGGGACCTGTGCCACAGAAGGGAGGGAAAACAGGGAAAAAAAAATCTCCTGCTGAGAACTTTTCCTTAAGACAATGTGTTTCTAGGCTGATGGACCATTCAGCGTCCAATTGCACGAACCTATGATCTGTAAAATGCACAGCAATTTCTGTCTTTATGCAAGATGAAACATCAAAGTAGTCTAATGAAACAGCCCATGGCTCAGTACAACACTACTCATGCAGAACCATGTTAGACTGATCAAATGGATGTCAATACACCACTGTTACTCTTTTAGCCCTGAGAAATATTGCCTTGTGCTGCTGGGGAAAGAAGATATGAGCATTTGCTCTCTGCCAGCTGCAGGAATGACTGCAGCTCTCTACGTGATTTTTACTTTATTGCACGACACACAGAAATAAAGTGTATAAGCAATTATTTTTAAGATTAATAAGTTTTAATTAAAAAAAGCTTAAAAGCACTGTAATAAAATTTTACACTAACAGATTTTGATTTGAATTAGACTAAAATTTCCTAATCGAGTGGTTTGGGTTGAAAACTGTCACAGAATAATTACCCTGCATCTTTTGAATACTTAAAAGGAACCACCATAAAGAAATGAGATAAATAAACTTTGGATGAAGTAAGTTTACAAATAAGTGAGGCACCAATCTTTGAGCTAACACAAGGCAGAAAATATAAGCATAAACATAAATACTTCAAAGGGTGCTGCATTATGTGGCCATGAATAATGCTGTTTGAGTCTCTCACTCACCTCAAAAAGTTTGTTGCATTCCATTATCATGTGAGCAAGTCCCTGAGTAGCTGCCAGGTTTTCACTGAGGTCCTTCTGATCTGGCTTCCCTGTTGCATATTTTTTCTGTATTACTCTGTAATTGAATTCAGTATCTCAGGTAAAGAGCTGAATATTTTTAAAATGAAACAAAAAGCAGCAGGATACTCCCAGCATCAGAGAGGAAACCCCCCTACCTTTTTTAGTTTCTGTTTATCACCATGACTGTTCAAACTCCCAGGCCTTTTTTAAAGGAAAAATGTTTACCTAAAATATTGTTCAGCCAAAGGTAAAAGCAGGAAAGGTTATGTATATCCTGCATGATGTGTTGTACATTTTGAAACGGATTTTTAACAGACATGATGTAAAGTGGTTTACATTGCTACTGCTTAAAGCCCTTGCTCAGACGCGGGTTATACATGTACTTGACCAAGAATCTCAGTGTATTCTGAACCAGATGGGAGGGAAAAAAGTCAAGAGGGACCACTAATGTTTAGCTGGGCTATGCCCTGTTTAGTCTACACTCACCACATTACAATTTTAATGTGGCCTGAATTAAACCCTGTTTCCCGAATGGCAGAATGTAGACAGTAAAATGAAAGTGAAAAAAAACCACACATTGAAAATCTACATATCAAAATCCTTTAAAACATGGTTAATCTTTGACTTCAACCAGAGCAAAATCAACCCATTTTCCTTTACAGAAGTCAACATTACTCCTATAAAACTCACTAGTGTCCCATTGAAAATTCCACATGGAAAGCAGGCACCGCATATTCACAACAGACAACCAGAAATGCCTGCTGGGCTTGTGAAAACAAGTGTGCTTCTGGCTCTGCAGCAGGGGTTTTCCCCTCTTACTCAAGCCATGCCCTGTTTAATGTGTGCTGGAAAGCAGATGGTTTGGAAAATATTGTCCTGCATACCACTGGTAGCATCATTCCGTATTCAGGATGTGACTATTTATAATGCTGACAAGAAACATACCTTGGTGAGCTTTCTTTCTTCACTATATTGAGATGGAAGAGGGAAGGGGCCAGACAAACAGCGATGTTCATGGGAGTCATCTGGTTTTCCTCCACGGAGGTGACGTCGCTGAGGAAGCAGAGCAGGGTCTGCAGAACCTCCCTGTTCTCGTCGGCCATGAGCATGATGGCCGCCTGCACCGCCTGCAGCCGCTGCTCCTTGGGGACATCTGGGAAGGAGCAAGCCACGTTCGGGGGTCAGAGGTGAGATCAGACAAGGAGCCAGAAAGACAAAGTTACCACAGACATTCACAGTCCTCTCAAGTGTTCAAAATCCGCGCAGGTGTGGTGCTTAGGGACGTGTTCTGGTGGTGGACCTGGCAATGGTAGGTTGATGGTTGACTCAGAGGTCTTTCCCGACCTCAGTGATGGCTTTGTGAAGAAGCAGATGACAGGAGACCAAGGGGAAAAGATCAGCTGGCTTCTGGAGAGCTGGGTTTTGCTCTGCACAAAGCACAGCTTCCCTCACCAGTGTTTGGCATTTCTCCGTTTGAAGGGCTGCTCCCAAGAAAGACTTAATTTGAAGTTTATGAAGGGAGAATAGTACTCAGTACTCATAACTTTAAATGGTATTTTTCAGGTTTTCTTTATCCCTTGGCAAGACAGAAGTTTAAAAGTCTTAGGGAAGCTTTTGGGAACACTTAAATTTGTGTTCTAAACTGTAGAAGAGTTGAATGAAAGAAGTAATGGATATGCTTAAATAGCACCTCAGACAGATTCATTTCTAAAACTACCCTAAGTTCTCTCAGTTTGGACTTTGAGTCTTCCTCTGGGTATTACGTACTCGCTATAATCGAATGGAAGAAGAACAAAAGAAGATTTACAGTAGAGGGAACAGCCAGCTTTTAAGATTTGACTGCTAGCCTTGTACAAGCACTTTATTTTAAAAGCTTTCAGACACGAATGGCAAAACGAACACAGCTCAATACTTCTAAAGTTTCTGAAAGCAGCAAGGCCAGGTTTTTCTGAGATGACAGAGGAGCCTTTGCTAAATCTATGCAATGTGTTTTTTCTTCCCACAACACCTCCCGGTAATCCCTTCCTCCCCTTTACTGTTGCTCTGATGGGTCTGGTACATGAAACAGAAGATCAGCCAGTGCTTTAAGTCAAAGGTAAGCATTAAACACCTGGGAGTTTTAGGAAAATGGAGAAAGTTTCATCAATGCTATGCCATATAGACTACTACATTAATCATCTCGTCCCAAATCCTACATGTTACAGCAATTCAAGCCATTCTGGGTATATGAAATAGGTCTTGGATATATGAAAAATATCTTCAGTGAGTCCCAGAAAATCAGAAATCCCCTGCCAATACACCAAGAGAGGAAAAATCCTCTCTAACTTCACATTAGCAATTTGTTAAACAGAACAAAGGACAAGACAAAGGTCTCTGCTACAGATTAGTTAAATTGCAGATGTTATGAAATACAACTGGTATCCCAGAAATTTTTCAGCATTTTTCTTTCTGTGAAAGGAGTTTTGTCAGTACTGTCTGAAACAGAAAAATATTTTTGTTGTTGGTGACATGGAAAAAAAAGCCTGCTACTAATTCTTAATCCAAACAATATTTTCCAGTGTCTACAGAGCCCATCTGTTCCTACCTTGGTTTGAAGAGACTCATCCTCAAGTCTTTCTGAAATCTTTTAACTCCTGGTGCATTTTGAGAACATCTTTCCTAGCTCATTCTTTTCCCTTCTGACCAGTGTAAAGAGAAGTTCTTCAGACTTCCCACTGCAGCACCATGCAGACATTACAGAGCCAGCCCATGCCTCTCTTTACATTTTTTGTTGGCTGGTATCAATGTTTCCCTGTTCAACCTCATGTCTTGGAAAAGGGGAGCCTTTCTGGCTACAGACCTGCTTATGCTGATGCCACTGGGATCTGCCAGGTCTCTCTTCCTTTAGCAAGGGGGTAATTTACTTTGCAGTCTCTTCTGTGCAAAGATGTGACATCTCCAATTTTCATCAAGCAATAGTTTAAAGGTGACTTGTTTCCAAGGACATGTAGAACATGTCCTTGTAGTAGATAATCTTCTCCTTGGCCACCTCCCCATGGAAATGTTTGTGACTACCATTTTATTAGCAGCCAGAATTCCTGTTGCTTTTTGGAACAAGCTTATTAATGCATGTGCAGGCAGACAACTTGTGAGCAGGAAAGAAGAAGGGGAAATGATGGTCCAGGGCTAGGCACCAACTCTTGCAGTTAACTTATGTCCCAAGACATCATGTACAGCCAAACCCAGGGAATTTATTTGCAGTGCTGTTTCTCACATGCAGAATCCCAGCGTTCTCTACCAGCTACAGACACTGTGATGGTAAATTCATCAGTGCTGTGACTGTGCACCACAGACAGACTTTTACAGTAAAGGGAAGCAACGGAAGTATCTGAGATTCTTAAACACCGGGATTATACAGTGTTTTAAAATGGCTTTCTATTGTTTTGGCAGCTGAAATGTCTGTAAGTGAAAAGACTAGACACACTTCTCTTTAGTGCTTCCAATTATTTGGCTTAGGCTGGTTGCATCTGCCAGAGTGCTGGCTGACTGGCCCTCATAATGGACACTGTCAGGAAAAAAACTCTAATTCCTCTGGCTGTTCAGTGTTTTCCTCACTGTTTGTTTTCCCCTCAGTCTGGAGAAGAGATACACAGTCATTTCCTGATTCACAGGGACTTTCATTATTCTGATGCATCTGAGTCTCAGATTTTTCTGAAGATTGCTTATGCTGGAAAGAAAAGAAGAAATCCCCTCGTTTCTTTCTTTGTTGATGAGTTCTTTATGTAGAGCTTATGATCTACATGAAGGCAGCTTGTTTTTAGCATGTACATTTTATTGACTATAATGAAAAAACAAATAATCAAAAGTCACAGCAAAGAAGGGGATTACAGAGGGGACACTCATGGTCAAGTACCACTTCTCCATGCCCACAAAACTCACTTCTATTGGGATATAAGTGCATTAAATGGGCCCACAGTTTAAAGAACTCTGACAAAAATATGAATCTTCATGCTTTTTATGTCCAGCAGGCTGTTCTTCTGTCTTCTTTCTGATTGTGAGGCTGATATGAACATTGTCTTTCCATTTTGCATTGAATTTCCATTGAAATTTGACACTGAAATGTTTAGTTGGTTCTAAAGACCTCTTAGTGAAAGATTTTGAGGCCAGAGGGGTTTTTTGTATCTCAAAGGCTAGCAGAAAGAAACCTATGCAGCGTTAGCATGCCAAAATTATTTACAGTATATTACTATATATAACAATAAAGCTACAATATATAACAAATTCTAATTGTTTATAATGAAATATCAACTTACATTGATAGATGTGCAGAAAAGTCTCTCCCAGTTTACTTGTGAGGAGAGGTTCTGGCAAGTCCCTGAAGAATTGCTTGACCATGTCAGCCACATCATATGCTGACTGGTCTTCATAGCTGACGTTTTCTGGGGAGCTCTCGTTCATCTGGCGCAGGGCCTGGATTCGGGATTTCACTCCAGATTTCCGAAACAGACCCACCTAAAAATGCACCATATTGACTTGGGTAAAAGGGAAAATAGCACTTGAGGAATATATATGTGTTATATACATTTATACATGGGGACTTGGATAATGGCCAAAGCTTGGGTTGCTTATTTCACTCTAGGCAAGTAGGAGGAAAATGTGCAAATGCAATTGATGGTCTCACAAGTCTCACAAGCAAGCACAGGCTCACACAGCAGGACTGCAGGGGTTAATAATGCTGTTGGTCTCTGTCCCTTTCTAGAGAGAGAGAGGGTTCAGAGTGCCTTGTGGTTTCTCAGATGCCTGAGAAGTTTAAGCAAGATGCTGTGCTGATATAAATCAGCCTGGCTTGCTTGGCTTGGGTGACTGTCTGTTGATTTACTCCAGCTGAGAATCTGGCCCTTCATGTTTGTTTGGGTATATGTTTTGAAGACTAACAAGAAAATATTATGCTTAGCTAAGTAATAAATGCTGTGGCAAAAGATTAGTAATGCCTGGTAGAGCTTTAAAATCAAGATGAAATATGTTTTTTCCCCTTTCATGCTCTCTGCTTCCAAGAGTTCTCCCAAATCCCACTGAAAAGTCCAGTTCAAAAGTGGGGGCCACAGAGGGATTACTTGCGCAGTGTCACTGAGATACATTTTTATCCTGTTTGCTTTCTGTTTTGAAAGGAAGTGGTTATTCTTCAAACGATGCCTTCAAGGCAGGGTTGCCTTTCTTGTCCTTCTCCGCCTGCGGAATTCCCCCTAGGGTGAATTCCTGGGCCTCAAGCACATTACTTATTCCCAGGTGAGTTTACAGTGCTTCATTTGGGAAGTGTTAACACTGTCTCCCTTCAGTTTTGCAGGGAAAAAGCTGAAATGTTGAGAAAGACCTATGGGAAAGGCACATTTCCAGTTGGGAGTTATACACTCTTCTTCCTCTGTGACTGCTGTCTCAGTGCTGATCCGTGCAGCTTCCTGCATGGCACAGTCCATCAACAAACAGTAAAGGCAAGAGAATAATGCCTTCTGGCCTTCTCCCCCTTACTTCCAAGTTAGAAGCAGCACAGAGTTCACAGAGGACACTCCTCTCTCTAGAACACCTCCCATGCTCACCTGGAGAGTATCTTTGGTTAACTCGCCCATTAATGACACTAATTACACAGATCACAGCTCTGTGAGGGGGTATAGTTATTTAATTGCTGATATGGAGATGAACCTCTGCACCAGACTGGCTGTGAGGCAGCTCTTCTACATCTTCTCATTGACAAATTTAGTGTCACTTGAGAGCTAAATTTATGTACAGGAAGTAGAGAACTGGAGTGTGCCCTGTGTTCTGTATTTATGATCCCAAGTGAAGCTCTGCTCTTCTTCCTGACAAGAGCATACAAGAAAGAGCATCCAGCTCTTTTCATCTGGTTTTCCCTTTCCCTTTCTCTTCTCCTTTTTAAATGCCTTTTCCGCTTAGAAATGTGTGCTGAAGATGAAGAAGACAGCCTTGCTAATTCTGTCCAAAAAATAAAGTTTTGGCTTGCGGTAGATAAATGTCAGAGCAGAGGCTCAGTTGTCTCCTTTTGATGGAAAGTGTCCTTGCTGGTATAAACAACCATTAAAAACTTCCAGCTAAGTCTGGTTTGAGAGGTCATATGTCAAATCTCACCCATGCAATCTCCTGCTGCACATCATTCTACTACTCTTGATTCTATTTAAAGACATTTATCCAAACTCCTATTTCCTATTTTTTTTAATTTATGGAAAAAATAATAATTAATCAAAAGAGGTCTTCACTCAATAGAAAAATATATTTTAGGCTGTGTTATGCATTATTACAGACTTGTCCTGTAAATAAGAAGGAACTAAAAATTCAGAGGTTAGTCTGCCCTAATCTCTTCACTATCCTCATGCTGCATGGGTCATCTTCCCTACAAGCAGCCATATGATGCATGACAGGAATAAAGATGCAGTTGGAAAAAGCAAAGAAGTTTCTATTTCACAAAAGTGAAAGTGAATTACATGTTCTTCAAGTAACTGTGGGGCTCCTCATGCCAGCTTAGGGATTTCAGTGGCAGAAGCCAGACCTTGCAATGGTTTAGAGCAACCTCAACTTGACCAAGTGTGTGCAGTAGAAACTCTGACACCTGTTCTGAACTCTAGCCCACCTTCTGCAGCACACAGAAGAGACACACAAGCAATATGCTGGGGGAGACAGGAGCCTGCCCAGGTCTCTGTGCAGGCATTAGGAGACTTGGAATTAAACGGGAACAAAGAGAGTAACTGTAAAGCAAAGAAGCTGAACTGCCTGGAGTGTTTTTGCCTAGAAAGGTTTTTGGTGAAAAGATATTTTAAAGGATCCCAATTTGTATGTCTCCTTCTTTTCTTTATTCAGTGTTTTCCCAATTTCACTGCAAGAAGAAACCAAAGGTGAATTGAAATGGCCCTTCACAGAGCTGTGATGCTTCCCAGCCCGTAAACACAAATGGAGCAGATAGCTGAGACTTCCAACACCTTATAACTGCCTGAAATTTCTCAAGAGCATTTTCTTTCTCTTTTATACTCCTTTTTACATTCTCCCCAGTTAATCCTCTGTCTTCTCTGTCTTTCTCTTGCGCTTCTTCTTACTTGCTGACAAGCCCATCCCTATCCTTACAAGCCTATCCCTTATCTTGTTCCTCTTACTTGGGCGTCTCCTCTTCCAATCTCATCACTAATTTCAGGCTTGCTGTATCACTTTTCTTCCTTCACTGGCTTTCCCAGCTCAGTACACAAACCCAGATGAGCACCGTGGCAACCAGGCATGTTAGCTCCTGAATATACCACTTCTACTTGTCTCTATGCAGCTTTCCCTTTCATCCTCTCTTAATAAATTTCTGACAAGCTGTTCAATCCGCCCCTCAGTTCCCACACTATATATGGCAGGCAGAACTCATCTCACCTCCCTTTTGACACTGTGGAGTTTTATGTCAAGGTCTGACCACTACAGGATCCCTTTACAGAGAGAACTGATAGGAAGGACCTGTGTCTTTCCCACTGTCTGCAAAAGAAAATGGTTGTGATTCACTGGAATGCCTTTAATTTTCAGATTTCAGTTTTGGGGAAGATGACTGTCGCCCAACGAAAAACCTGAACAGCAACCAGAATGGTTGAAAATGTGAAAGAAAAATGTGAAGATTCAGAACAGACTAATTCCACTCTTTTCACGTGCTCAGAGCTAGGAAAGCAGCAAAGACTGCAGAGCAAAGTGCTGGTTGCTCCTTTTGAACTTAAAACTATCTAAAGGCAGTTATGAAACAGTTCACATGACATGAGGTCAATAACAGCAGAGGACTGAACATAAACAGCCGGGGGGTTTCTCCCAATCCTATGTTCATAAAAATACACATCCTCATTCTTAGGGGAAGAACAGTAAAAATATGATTAGTATGTCCCTCTGTAGCTAAAGGGAATAAAAAAAATCTGAAATACTTTGAGCATGAGGGTGTCCCAGCTGGCTTGTTGTAGCTAAGAACACTATAAAAGGCAACGTACCATAATGGCTTTGGCATTGAACCCCTGCTGACCTAACTATCTGGATATATCTGACTCTGTCAACAGAATACTTGGAATATTTTGCTGAGTTTGCTCTCTATTCTTGGACTTTTCTGTCTTTGCAAAGTAAATAAAACCTTTTGTACCATATCTTATGAAATGGTGAATGCAGTTAACCCTCAATGGCAACAGTCAAGCATATGCAAGCAGTATAGATACATGAAGAAGCAGGGAGTCCTGATCTCTTCCCAGGTTTCATTCAATGTACATGAAGATCTCAAAATGTTCTCTGAAGTAGACTGTGGTGCACAAATTAGCCAGACTGTTACAGCTACAAAAATTCAACAGATTAGCTGAATACTAATCTCAAAATGGAAAACTTTTAGTATTGGCACTATCAAATCACCAGAAGAGACTGAGGCCCAACATGAAATATAAAAATCTCCAAATAATCCTGGCACTTAGTACCAAAATGCTCACAGTTGCTTGCTTAAAACGGTTTTTCAGAAAAAACCCAACAAGTCCATGGAGTAAAGTTCCTACCTGGTCTAGACAGTTGCTCCGTAGGTAGCGCAGGGCTTGTTGTATGCTCTGGGGAAGAGGCTGCCCCGTTCTCTGGACATGAACTATCAGGGGCACACCAAAGACATTCTTGTCCTTGTAGTCGGGGACTTTCATCCTCTTCATGAACTTTGGCACAGACCTGAAAATTAACATGAACAGGCTGCATGAAACAATCAGTGTATTCACACACTTTCTGAGTACCACTACTGACAAAAATTGGTAACTGAGGCTTTTTAATAAAGATGGTGAAATAATCTTTAATGCACAATACAGAGACACTTTACAATTTGCATAATAGATTAATTTCTTAATGTCTGTAAGTGGATGGCCTCTAAGGTATAGCACAACAATCAGTTCTAACAAGAACTTTTTACTACGCAGGTGTCATCCAGCTGAAGCCAACAAGGTTTAAAGCGTCTTTTAGGAACTCACAGGAATGGCAGAGCAAACCTGAGTGGAGAGGGCATCTGAGAAAAAAGAAGGTTCAGTCCTCTAACATGCTGAATGATCTTTGTACTACCAGTTACATGATTTAGTATTTCTAGTGACTAAAACTTTACAATACAAAATGATGGTGGGAAATCCCTATGTGTCAGATTCCTCCCTTGTGTTATATAATTTATTCCAGTTGAGTAACTTAAGTGAAGCTGGTGAGCTTGCTTTCTTCAAAAAATCGTGATGAAAACAAGAACCAACTGGATTCCCTTTTTGGGAGTCATGACTGCCATGGAATTAAAATAAAAAGGATGAATATGACCTGAATGTGACTAAGAGTTTTGTCATCTGTGTGGGAAGAAGTAAAAACTCATTTTAAATTACCTACTGAGGAAGTACAGTGCATAACTCCACAGCTATTTAAAGTCCCTCTCTTAAAAATCCTTAGAGACTGATTCTAAAAGCTGAAGAAATATCTCTCAGGATGAAAACCTTGTACAAACAGCAGGACCTAGAATTTGCTGTATTCTAGTCTGCTTATTTGAAGCAGGGTAAGGTGAGATTCATGTCAGCTAGCCACAGGGAGTGCACCAAAGGAGAGCAGTGAAACAGGGGGGTTAATCTTGCTGAATTTTAGTTCTCTTACAGAGATTTAGAAAGAGTCAGCAGTCTGGACTACTTCCATACCCACCCTAGAGAGAGACACCTCTGGAGGGTGACCCAAACCCTTGGCATTCAATATAATGGGCTGCTTTAGGGTTGTCTTTCTTTTTCCTCTGACAACAAAGAGCCAACCTGACTTTCTCAGGTTAGATTTATAACACATTATTCTTTTAACTTTTCCTAATGACCAGTGTCAGTGAGGTCAATCTCACATGTATCTATTGAATCTATTTTTCCATTTCTAAAGGTAAACTTGCCTTAGTTAGCTCACAGATGAATTTAGTGGGATTTTGGGGAGGTGCTTTGAGCATGGAAATCACAATACAAATATCAAGTATCTGGACTGTATCTGGATTGGGTACCAAAGTGTATTAGGGAAAGATTCTGTCATCCTTTTGATTATTTCTCAGATACTTTATTAACTCTTATCCATGCCTATTTCCGTTTCTGGTGTACCTCAGTCTGTGGGACCCACCACAGACTGGGGTTTGTGTACCATGAAACATGCAGGTTTCTGTAGCCAGTTGCTACAGAAGGAGCCACATTGTGAGCATTCACATCCATGTGCACTTCCCTTCACTCCCTGAGTGACTCTAAGACAGGTCCAGGCCTAGGCTAAAGCCTGCATCTTTGATTTCTAGAGAAAAGTCCCATAACTATTCTAACCCTTCTTTTAAAGCACAAACAAAGCAAAATCAAACACATGAAGCAGCAGATGTTCCTTTCGAATCACCAAACGAATTTTGGGTAGGACTTATTGTAAACTTTTCTGACTTTTTAGTCACTCTCTCCTACTCCTGTTTATTTTTCTGGAACTGTAGCTTTGTTTGAAAGGCCAGCATTGTCTCTCTGTTAGAACACAGGAATGAAATCAGATCTCCAGGCTCTATTTCTGACTGCCAACAAGCCACTAGGCAACAATGGATTCAAAGGGCCAGTTTCAAATCTTACACTTGAAGTCAATGGTTCTTTCCAATTGCATTTATGTACTAACAGAGCAACATAATTTGGAGAAACTATTTTCTTTTAAAAAGTCTCCTTCCAGTTACCAGCAGTACTCACCAGGTCCAGCCATGTTTGTTGGACATGGAGTATTTTTCCATGATGGCAGTGAGACGAAGCAGAGAGAATTTTTGCAGTAGGTTCAGCTGGGCTGCTGACTGATTGCTGATGTGAAGCGATGCAATGGAGCGGCTCAGGCGATGAGAGATTTGGAAACTATGCCATCGTAATTGCCTTTAGCAAAAGAAACGATAGAAAAATCAGGGAACTGCTTTAGTTGGGGAGAAAAGATGGTGAGATACTGTGAGATAGGGCTGGGCAATATCTAAAACAGAAAAACACATACGTGATGGCTTGTGGTGTATAACTGAAATGAAATGCACCTTGGAGATAAATAAAACAATTTTGGAAATCTCTTTAATTTTGGAAATGTCCAAGCTTTGTCTTTTTAACATTAGATTCACAAGTGGGTCCTGTCCATATGCTTGGGGGAAGCAGTGCTGCCTGCTGTGGTCTTTAGCCCACACACTTCCAACAGGATGTGGGAGATTTAGACTCGAATGTTCTTTGCCTGACTCAGAACTGGTATTTGATGCCTAGTCCCTCACCTCCCTGGGGACTGACCTGACCACTGAGGTATTTGGAGATGAGGTTCTCCAAATATCTCTGTGTGAGATGTGAAACCACCACACTCTGTTATTAAATGCTGAAGGATTTTTTTGAAAAAGGATTAAATCCTGTGTCTCCTTAGCTAAAGCTATAACCACCAAGCTATTGAACCACTCACATCTTTTTACTGCAATGGTCTTTCTCTATATACTGGAATCATCAGGGAAAAACTCCCTTATTTTATTTTCTTGTTTCACTAAATGTAAGTTCTGGCTCAAATCCTAAAAACCTTGGCACTACTCATTTACTCAATAGTTTCCTCCAGTTCACTTTCACTTTTGTGGTGGTGGTGAGCAAGCACAGGCAGCAGCAAACCATGGCATGGCAGAGACCTCTGTGAGGTTGTGACGAGACTGACAGCAGATCAGAAAATACCAGTATTGTCAGAAATACCAGTATCAGAAAATTCTAGGTATGTTCTCCCTGCTTTTGCACTTACAAAGCCACCCTACATGAAACAGTTTAGACCCACACCAGCTTATGCCCAGGAGCATTGGTACTTAGCTTAACAGAAGCTCATCACTCTGGCTTATAACAGGTCTGTAAACTATTAACAAAACTTCACTTCTCACTTTATTAAGAAGTCAATCATTCACTGTCATTTCATCCCACCCATGTAAGGGGCTGAGGCAGAGTAGGGAAGTTCTCTTTGAGCACAAAGGGGCACACTTTTAAAGCAGATCAGTGCATTTAAAAAGTGCATAAAGCTACAGATTCATAAAGAGCTGGGTGCATAACTTAGAAGACAAATTAAAAATACATCCTATAACATATACAGGGTCCTACTATGTAATCAATGGATCAAGGGATAAAAAAATGCCTTAGTTTGCTCTATTAAACCAATTCTGCATCGATTCCATGTAAGAATCTTCACAGCAGGATGTCCCTTCCCTCAAAGTCCCACCTTTCCCTGGGAAGTCCCCATCTCCATACAGGATGAGCACTACTGTAATGGTCCCCCATGCCTTCTGACTCCCAGACTGAGAACCTCTTCTCCATTATATTGTATTTCACAGTCTATGGATTTGCATGCAAAATTTTGCTAGTTACCTGCTTGGCCTTGTGAGTGATGCTCCCACCCCAGAGTCTCTCCTGTCCCTAACACCAGTGGCTTCGGATTCATTCAGGGATGTTCCATCTCTGTCCATGTCACTCGGGGTGGTCCGGCCATCAGACACAGAATTTCCTTCAAAGTCGAGAGTGATCTGAGTAGGCGACTGGAAAGGCAATGATGGGGATTCCCTGACTGACACATCACCAGCCGGCAGACCTGGCAACACCTTCTTTGACCAGCCATCCACCACCTCCTGCAGCCCATTGACGTGTTGCAAAATGTCATCTAACTGAGGAAAAAGGACATCTTTCTCTATGTCCAGGAGGTCCCCAGTACTAGCATACAAGTGGGAACCCGGCACATTGTCATAAATGCTAATTCTGCTCTCTTTAGGACAGCAAGCCATCAGTCCGGATTCCTTTGGTGTAGAGCAGTTCTGCTTTCCCAAAGAGATGCTGCCTGTCCTCCAGTTTACACTGCCACTGTTGTCTGTAGGTGAGAGGCTTTCGATAGAAAGTGCCTTTGGGAAGGTCCCTGGTTTGTGATCCTTGGGAATGTGCACAACCAAGTTCTCTTGGGAATGGAATTCATTTTTGCGGTTTTGGTCCACCACTTGCCGTAAGGCCGTTCCTGCCAGAACATCCAGGTCCTCCAGGTACATCCCACCTCTCTTGTTTGCTTCATGGCATTTGCGTTCCTTCAAACATGGCGTGCTCACCCCACTGCTGCTGTTTTCAGACTGACTGCTGTCACTGCTGGATTTGGCAGAAAAGGGAAGCCCTTTTTTGACTGAATCTTGCCCCAAATTTTGGAGATCGCCATTGACTATCTGTACACAGTGCATGTCTTTCAAGGACTTTGGCTCAAACTGAAGAACCGGTCCACTGATCTCTAAAGGACCTGCTCTTCCTGAGCCCTTTAGTTTTCCATGCACAGCTTTTGCTTTTAGTGTCTCCATGCGTTTTAGAAAGGTTTTTGCTCTGGCTCGTGTTGGATTTTCATTCTTCAGGCCGTCCTTGGGGGACAGGGCGGTGTTTATTGCAGTGGAGTCCTGCAGCAGCGTGCTTTCCACATCATGATGGGCAGGGCAGTCACAGGTCTTCCTGGCAGTGCTGGTGGTGCCAGATTGACTCCTGTTGTCACTGCCCCCACTACTCTCGCTGTGAATCGATGAGACCTCAGGTTCGCTCAGATCTGTAAGGACGCTCTCACTGCTTGTCGTGTTTTTCATTTTAATGTCCCCAGAAGAGCCATGTCTGTCAGTTCGGTGAAGCAAAGCGTCAATGTCGTCCACCCGAGACCATCGTCTGCTGGTTCTTTGGAAAGTCCATTTATTACTGATAGCACACAGGTCTTCTTCATCTGAATCTTCACTCTGGAAAAAAAATTAAGTGGCACATGTTTAAACCGTGTGCTTTAACTTGATATTTGAATTAACACTCTTGGGCTGCTCCAGGTGAGCAGCAGGCAACAAAGCCTCTCTGAACCAAGTTTATGGAAGACTGGTCATCAGTCCTTTCATAACACCCTCTTTCATTTAATTGTAAAGACTACAAACTTCTCAACGAGGAAGGAATAAAAGCCTGCTCCATGTTAGGAGGCCCACTGATACCTCTTGGCTTCCATGGACTGCCTGTGCACTGAATTGTGTAGGGCAGATACCCACAGTGACTGTTCAGGAAAAAAATGGTTTGAAAGGCCAAAGTAAAGGAATCTTGATTTGCAGGGATGGTGCTAAGGTACACATGGTAAAGACAGGGAAAGTAGCTGGGTACTAAAATGTGAGCTATTTAAAAATCCAAGACAGCAAATATCTGGTGCTGCACGTAGTTTTGCACTGAGAACTAAATAAACATCTATAAACTTCACAGGCCAGATACATCTAACAAGATTTATGTTTCAGGAACATAACTACAGATAAATAACCATGATGCTTAAAAGAACAATAAAATAGTAATATTTGGCAGTATTGCTTAGGGTGTGTCTGTGTGCAGGCAAAGGAAAGCAGAGAAGGCAGCCATGGGGGTGGGGGCAGAAGGAGCAGCCAGGCTCAGGCTGGGATGGGGCAGCATCTGCAGCTGAGGTCAGCTTTCCTACAGTGGCAACCACTGTCTTCACTGCTGTCATCATCAGGGGCTCCCCAGACTTGATGACCTGCAGCCTACCCCACTGTCTGTGCCTTCCTCCAACCTCTCCCGAGGCAGCAGCAGCCCTTCCTGGTCTCATCCCTCAGCCTGAAGTGTGCAGAGCTACTCTGCAATGCGCAGAATGTGTGCCTTGAAAAAAAAATTAGATAAAAAAAACCTTGCCCTGTGACATTTTTCTCATCTGTTTGCTCAAACAAGAAAAGACATCTTCAGCATGAAGCCCACAGTTGCTAATGAGTACCCTTTTCCTGACTTTGAAGTGGACTTATACTGCATTATTCTGGCGCATTTGTTTTAAAGCAGAACAAAGTAACTTCACCTACATGACATCCAAACAGCTCTTCACATTCTTGGAAGCAGTATGAAGGCAGTAAAATATGACAGGCTGTCAGACTAAAATGAGGTGCTAAACCAGAAAGACTATTTTGGGACTGGAAAAATTCTCATTTTAAAAGTCTATTATTAGAAGTATTTTTATATGAAGTTTCGATGGTAAAGTTATCTCCAATCTCTGACTAGATCTTTGCTGGCCTGTCTAATTGAAAAATGTAAACCAAATTTTACAAGAGTGTTCAAAACCTTAAATAATGTGAAACCTCAAAAGCTGGAGATTGGGACCAGTAGCGTGCCAGGTCTCACTGATGCCATAAATTTTTGCCAGTTTATCACTTCAAGTTAGCCAGATGTTTTAGATCACGTCCAAACCGTAAAATAAAATATAGCTGTGAAATTTTGGGTTTATGCATTCCTCTTTCTTTTGTTAACGTTGAGGTGTGCAGTGTTCCTGTGAGTTTATAGGAATGAACGGAGAACCTCATTCTGTGGCATGTTAGAGAGAAAAATTGAGCACCTAGGGAAGTATGAGGGAAGGGGCTAGAATAGGCTAATACTGCTTTGGTGTTTTGTCTGAGGGAAGAAATGGCACATCAGACAGCTCCACCTTTGTTTCAACTCCACAGCTTGCTGTATGCATACATGGACCAAAGGACTGCACAGCCTCAGGAACTTAAAAATCCATTTATTGTGGTCTTAGTAGTGCCACAAAGTGGATATTTAAAGACAGCAAGGCTACGTACTTTTAAATATTTAGCAGTGGTAATTATATCTACAAAGCATACCACTGCTGAAGCGTTGGTGGCACCAGCCAATAGGATAAACATATTTTTAAAATTTGCTCTACATTGCAATATGCCAAAGGGACCTTGAAGAAGATTCTTGGCTGACACAAATCCCTGTAGCTGCACTGACACTACTGTACGAGCTGACAGGATTTAGCCTGTATTTTCTACAAGCTGGAATCGATTAAGGAAGCCAAAGTGGTAGAGACATTGCAAAAAACACCAAGAGAGCACAGAGCAGAAGACAGAAATAAAAATAAATTCAGTGGTAAATATACTTTAAATCAAAAGTTTGTGGTTTTTTGGGGTTTTTTTGTTTGTTTGAGGGTTTTTTGTTTTTTAGATTTTTTTTTTTTTTTACAAAGCAGAGATGAACAGAAATGGATATTGGTAGTAAACAGGTTTTGCCTCTAACCACAGCAAAGACAGGATTACATTCTGCTCAAGAATCACTTGAAAAATACAGAGGCTTTTCAGTGTCAAATTCTGAAGCTCAATTAAATAAAATTAATTAGTTTTGGGTTCTTTTTAATTGATAAAGAAACTTATTTGTGTTTCATCAGAAGCAAAATCAGGCAAATATGAAATGAAATATCTGGATGCTGAAATACTGCCATGGTGACTCACTACAAATTCAGCTGCACTGAGTCCTGTGACATACTGTGCTTTTCTTTTGATGAAATCAGTAGAAATTCTGGGAGCCATGAACATCCTGAATGACCCACTGTTCTTGTCAGATATCTGAGTGTCCTGACAAACGAAACTGTCCAAAAAAAAATGTTGAGAGCACTTAGCCCACCCACATGTCACCAGCTAGAGGGACAGTGGATCAAGAGAAGGTCTGAAAGCAATGATTCATCTGACACAGGCAGAGCAGACATTTTGGAGCAGTGACTGTATATTTCTACTGACCTGGGGTGAAATCAAGTGCATGGCTTTGGAGCATATTCAAAAGTCCAGTTAATACCATTATGTTTGGGAAGATGAGAAGGGGCAAGTTTCTTGAGGAGTGACTGGTAACATTTGCCAAAGAGAAAGAGGTTTTGATTCACAGATTTGTCACAGCTGATTTAAAATAGCACAGCTTTTTGACTGAGGGCGTACTTGCCTGAAATACAGAGGGATGCTAACAAAAGGCAAATAGTGGATTTATTTGCCGTGGAATTCTGCCACATTTTTCCAGCTGGGGGCAGGAATTCTCATAAATCGACAGCTGCAGAAGGCAGTTAATCCAAAGGCTAATCTCTGTCTGTCCAAATCGCTTATGGACATATTTGCAACACATACATGAGGATTTCTGTTTGCATCTTGATGAAGCCAAGGGAAGACAGCAGCCCACAGTGGGATTGGTCTGGGTGGAAGAGTGGGCAGTGGGGAACGCTCATGCTGTGCTGGCTTTCACAGGAACCTTGCCTGGCAGCTTGCTTGGCCATATTTTGGTGAATCACTCAAGCAGCTGTACTAGTCCTGTGCATACCTGTTATGCTGAAGCTCCAAAGCAAGCTGATTTTGCATTTCATTGTTCAGATTACCACAGAGACTATTAGGAAAGGCAGTATCTTCAGAGAAAGATTTATTTAGTTTGGTGATCAATTTCAGACCCAGTTCTTGGCTTCTACACTTGCATTTACATTTCCTCCTGTCAGCAGGCTCTCCTTCCTTCCTCTTCTTCTCTCACCCACATTCTCTTCTACTTTCAGCTGCTCTGTAGCTGTGGACTAAAATCTCCCCCAGGTCCTCTTTGTCTACATTTTTCTGTTCTCAGCTTCTCTGTGGCCTTCTGCAGGTACAGACCCAACTAACTTCTATCCGCTTGAAAGAGTACCCAGTGGAGCCATGTCTCTTCCACCACAAATTAATGGTCATCTGCAAGGAGAGCAGCTGAGGACTTCAATCCAGTCATAACAGGGAGGAGTGGCAGCAAAAAATTAATGAAAAACAAACATAACAAAAAAAAAAATCCTCCCTTTTTAACACAACATAAAACCCAAGACGAGAAAAACCTGTGATGCAGTGAAGTCCCTGCAGCTCCAGGGAATGGACAAAAGAGAAGCTGAAGAGGCTAGTACACAGAGGAACAAGCAGACATGTGCCAAAGCAGGATATCTGGACATTAAAACCATCCTCTGTTCAAGCTCCCTCAAACACTGAATAGACTATGATGACACTGAATTTGCAAAGACATAAAAAAATGCAACTGTTGGAGGCAGTTTTTGGAAAGCACGAGACTAACACTCAAGGAAGGAAAATCAGAAACCAAGATTTCTCAGAGCTGACAACTACCACTGTACAACACTCAAGGACTTTGGGGAATTTGTGACCAGAAAACAGTTAATGCTGGATATGTTACAAAGCTCTCAAAATCAACAGGCTGTTTCTGCAGCCCTCACTGAAATCCTTTATGCTCATATAATTTCCATGTTACACAGAAGCTTGTAAGGATGACAGAGTTTATTTTCATATTCTTAACTGGGAAGAAGTCAGTACAAGAAACAAAGAAAGGCTGTTGTTTGTTGTTTTCATCTGAGCAGCTTCCATTTTTTCTGGGCAGGATTTTCCACTGTGTACTCACACAGCGTTTCTGGGCAGGATTTTCCACTGTGTACTCACACAGCGTGAGTACAGCGTGAGTGTACTGACAAACCAGCTAATGAAGCTTTACTGTCTTTTCCCCCGCTTGCTTTAATTGCACACATGTAGAGTTTCAGCACTGTGTGAGCCCTTCTAGCATACATAGTGTTTACTCACAGCTTCTATTCTCCCATTATCATGCATCCAGATAATTTTGACATGCATGTTCAAAATAATACAAACTTAACTTATTTTTAAGAGCATTACTGAATTAAAGGCAAAATTGGGGTGGTCTTATCACAAAAGCCAGGGTATATTTAATCAAGTTCCCTTACCTTTTTTCTTTGGAAGTTCACATCGAGTTTCATTGAGGCGCACTTGTTCAGTGTGTTCAGTCGTCTGCAGGGCAAAGTAAATTCAAAAGATTAGCAGCCTCTGACTAAAGGGCATGATTTTTTTCAAGTTCAAAACATTTATCTTACTGTAGGGTGCCAACTGCATATAACAGCTTCAGAAAGGATACTGGTCATCTATTCCATCCATATGACCACTGTATGAAAAGGGACCCTTAGTTTCACTCTACTTGATAGCCAGATTTGATAGATTGCTTTTTAATTCATAGTTATTTCTGTACTTAGCACAGGAAACAATTATAATCAAACACCTGTGATAGCTGGGAAAATTACAAGAGAAGGAGGTGAGTTGTGTTATGCAGGATTGTAACATAATTGGTCTAAAATGGGGATTTCAAAGCACTGGTGAAAGACCAAACAAAAAATCAGCTGCAGTTCCTCACTTCTGACAGTTGGCACCTCCTTAAAAAGGTTGACATACAAAACTTCTAGCTTCTACTTAAAAGATTCTCCAAAGCAAATTGTTTTTTTCTCCTATTTGTGGATCTTACACACAGGTTAACACACCCAACATGTAATAAATCTAATATTTTTAAATAACTATTTTTAGCTATTTTTTGATCATGTTCATACTGATGTTACCAGAGTCTCTGTAAGGCTTCTGCTCCTTAAATCCAAGGCTGTCCTGTGATGACAGTGAGTTGAAATGACAATCTGTGTGTGTGTGTGTGTGTTTGTGTCCATGTGCAAGGACAGCCAGAGGACAAGTAAACATGCTCTTTCAATAGACAACCTACTGTGATAATGATAATTGATTTGGTTTTTTTTATACTTAAAGATCCTGATCCATGAAACCATCCAACTTCTAAAAGCAGAGGCTCAAAGTTAAATATGTTTGACTTTGAAAATTTTCCATACCTAGGACTGAATTTCAAAATAAAGGGAGGCAGAGTGAGAGAGCCATGTGTCCACAGCACTCCTCTGTTGACTGTAAAGACATCTCCTGTGTCTTTACAGCAAGATTTGTCTCTGTTGCTTTTGGGTCACAGGGAGACGCCTCCAATTTCCAGAACTTAAAATTTGAAATGCATGTGATAAGTTACAAGGACACATGAAAAAAGTATCAGATCAATAATATAATCTCTCACATAACATAAGAATATTATGGCATTAACATATTCCTCCACAGAACTTCTAATATTAGAATACCTTTCAAATTGCCATCACTAACAAATAACCAACCCATCAAATGTGGATCTTCCTTAAAAAAAAAAAATCCTCTCAAAATATCACCTGCTCATTTGCAGATCAAATATTCCACCCTAACTTAAGCCAATAAATCTGTTATGCTGCATCAGAAAAGTCCTGTGCTCATGGTATTAATTTGGGCATAATGTATGCACAAGCACACCCTGCATGCATGATAGCAATGTTGAAACAAATTCCAGGGTTTGTGGCTGCGTAGCTGTATCTACAGCCTTTTGCCCACAGATCATCTTCTGGGATTACATCTACTATTGCAAAACTCCTCTTTTACCCAAACACAGAATTTCTCAACCCAAAGTGGCATTTTCTTGGGGCCTGGGGCTGAATAATGTTCAGTGCTTCTTTTGAGCACAAAATGTTTAAATGTGTGTATCAATATAAATTCCAAGTATACAGAGGCACAGACACATTTTCAAAGAACTCCAGCTCAGCTTTCTATCTTTGGGGACAGCTTCCTCTGAGTGGTGGATGTTGGCTAATATTGGAGTCCCTGCACCTCTCTTTCAGCTGGCTGGTGCTGAAGGGAAAAGTCTGTAACTACATTTCCACACTTGCTCAACCAAAACCAAAACTACTTTTTACTGGGCGCCAGGGAGTTCAACCCCAGGTTTTAAATTCATCCTTCTACAAAACATTGGTATGTTTTTTGGGGCTCTTCCAGGGTTGTGGAAAGATTTGCCAGTGAAATTAGAGAACTAATGATCATATTTGTGAGTTTGTCTGGTACTAGCAGCTCAAATCAAAGTCAGTCTGTTTCAGCTTCCTTTGCCTTGTTGATGTGCCAGTGGTGGCAGAAAGCTTTTCTCATCAGTTTAAAGTTGTGAGATGACTGGCAGCCAACTCCTCAGCAGCAAATGTTTCGAAAAGAAGAAAAACCCAGAAGTTTCTGGCTACAAAGGCTGTCACCAATATCCCAGCTGAAGTGAGAGGAGCACAGCATTTTTACGCCACTGCTTAAAAACATGGGAAAAGAATGCCTGCTTGTAATGTTAACAAAACACAGTCTGGATTTGAGAAAAGGCAGGGAAAAACACATCAAATAAACACAAGAGAGGTGGCTATATAAAACCCAAATAATCTAGGATGCATTTGAAGATGTATCTGGAAATTTCTGCATTGTTCAGGGAAAGACCGCAAAACGTGCTACAGTAAGTGTTTCAGTGATGTTAATTTAATTTCTTCTCCAGAGCATCACAGGTGGTTTAACACTTTGAAATAATTCTTAAAAAGCCAGCAGAGATATTCAGATGCCCAAACAGATGTTTCTGGTGCTATTTTAGATCCCCTGGATATCAAGCCTGGCCTTCAGCTGCTGCAGGTACCTCAGTCCAGATAACACATGGAGAAGTCTGAGTTATCTGAGGAGATTTAAGATAGCCATAGACACAAGTCCTTAGGGCTCTGAATCCCAACCCCAATGCTGTGATTGTTAACTCTTAAGATAGAAGTTCTTCAGAAGCAGAAAATCTCCAACTTTTGCATTTTTTACAGCACTGAGCAGTGTTTACAAATAGAGACAAGCTTGTAGCTATGCAGGCTCAGGCCAGCTGGAAAACCTTGTGGGGGACACACTGCCCTGCTTTAAGAACAATCCAAGTAAGAGGGAGCAATCCAAGTAATAGTGAGACAGCTCTGAAGTGAGCTAGAGTGCCAGGAGAATCTCTGGACCTGTTCTGCAGCTGTTTCCAAGCAGGTGCTTTGGAATGCAGCCAGAGCCACAGGCCAGTCGTGAAAGAGAGGCGTCATGGGGAGGACAAGCATGGACAGCACAGTGCCTCCTGCATCAGCAGATCCATGAATGCTCTCTCCTATGGATTTTGACCAGAAAAACACACTGTGTGGTTCCCCTCTGAGGGAACCACAACACTATTTCTTTTTTCTGGCTTCCTCTGGTTCTCTCAACTTTGGGAAGAGGACATCAAGCTCCTGATGCTGGGCTTTGCTGAGGTCTTAGCACTGAATAAGAGTTCTCCCAGCACCATTAGGGCTGGTGTGCAAGGCTGCCACTGGCATGTCCCTTCTCCACCAGTTTTTGTGCATGGAGAGAATATATTGTTTTCTGATCACCTTTTTTGATCATGGCTGCCACGTAGGGAGCTACCTTGTAGGCTCCAGGCTCATATGAGATGAGTAATCTCTCCTGGAAGTCAGTGGGAGCCATTCTACTGCCTCCAGAGCAGGGCCTTCTGTCCTGTATGTGGAGAGTCAGACTTGTTCCCCAACAGCACCTAGAGCAAGATAACTCAGCAGATGGAACTGACATTTCAGAGCTCTGGTGGGAGAATGTCCCACCCCATACAGCAACCTTCACTTTGTTTACAAGCTGTCTAAGAGATAACTGCTATGGAAAAAAAAGGCTGCTGACTGCTTGGCACAGCTCAGATTTTAAGAGCTTGGTATAGGGAACTATGTATCAGACTGTTATATACTTGTTCTTCATGTTCTTAGTCGCTGTATTTATGTGAATGCAAGAAGTACAACGTGCCTTGGCTTCTCCTTCTCACCCTCTTATCACAGCAGCCACAAAAGTTCCCAGAGCAAAGTTGGTTGCTGCTATTTTGGAAGCGACACAGCTATAAAATTTTCATGCTCAATTATTGTTTTGGCAGGCTGACAGTATATGCCTGCAGATTGCCTGGAAATTCTCTATTGTTCATTACTCAATAAAATCTGAGTGGAATGTCTTGATAGATGCGCCTCTAACCCAAAGGCCTCAAATTTGGTTTTTACTCTGCCAAATTTTCAAATTATATTGTAAACAGCAGGAATGTTAGAATATCTCAAAAAGGTCACTGAAATCTTTTACAACAGGGAGTCTTAGACATTCTGACTAAAATACTACCAGCTGCCTTAAAAAAAGGTTCCTTCTCATTTGTGCCTCACGTTGTCTGGTTTACTTCAATGCCATAAGAAAACCGATATAAAATGAGATTGAGATTCAACCCATAAGAGCAGAGAAATGCAGTGTTTATGCTATTACTATTCAGAGCTAAAACTGCTCAAACTGATTATTCATGCTGGCATTTCAACTTTAAAATTATCTTCCAAAAAAAAAAAAAAAAAGAGAAGCCCATTTTGTTCAGCACTATGTGCTGAATGCACTATTAGTCAGTGTGATGGCTTGGTCACACACAGCTTTAAGGGCAGCTTTGAATGTTTGAAGAATGGAAGTTCAACTGCCAACCTGGGAATCTGTGCACACAGAAATAACAACCAGCCCTTTTTAACTTTCTCTTTCCTCAAAGTGCATCACAGCCTGCAGCTCTCATACTGTGCATTGGCCTGCACCTCGCAGTAACACCATCACAGAGCAAAGGAAGGGCAGAGAACTGGCCACAGTGGTCAGCTGAGCTGTGTGGATTTCCATTGCACTGGAAAACTTGGAAGAGGCTGGTTTGATAGCTCACAGAGTAACAAAGCTGGTACTGGGGGCAGCAGCTGGCACTGTTCACTGTCTCTGTGAATCTTGGCATTTGGTACAATGGCTTTCTATGGCTTGCTTTCAACAAAGGGTTTGAAGCTGCTGAACTACATCGAATTAAATGTCTGCAATCTGAAAACATAACCTGTACATAACACTTGTATTTCTAATATTATGAAGAGCCATTCTTTTATAAGATCTAAGCTGTTTAAAAACTCCCAACAAAAAATTAAACAGGTGTTGTCTTCTGAAGAAAATACAGAAAAAGTTAGTCATAAACCCATTTATCTTTAAAGTGTGGAAATATTTGTGTCTATGTTTTTTTCTATATGTCTCATCATTGTCCCTTGATTTAGGCAAATGCAAAGCATTTTTTTCCCATAAGTGCATCTATCCAGCTGCTAGTTAATTTTCTAAACCCTCATATTTTAATAAAAGATAAAAAACTCCCAACCCAACCAAGTCTCTATCTTCTCAGCTTGCAAAATAATCCTCATAAATATATCAACAGAGTGTAACTGTAGGTGTATCTGTGAGTCTACAGAGAGGCTGGAGGAGCAAGAAATGAGCTGTTCCCATTCTTAGCTGTGTAGGTTGTGGATGCCTGGTGACCATGACTGTAACAGCACCATTGCCAATCACCCCAGTGAAGAATGATTTGAGAGTCACAGAGCTATGAAATGACTATATCTCACTGGCTTCTCTCACAAGAAAAAGGGCAGGAACAGACATCATTGTTGAATTTTTTAGTGGTCCTTCAACTTTGTAGTAAAGGGCAGAGGGGAAGAGATTCTCAATCTCCCATCTCTATCACTTTCCACTTCCCAAACTGCAGCAAAGTACGTCTTCCATCATGCCAGACTGAAGCAGGGGGATGTATATGTGTGGGAAGAAGGTTTCTCTCAGGTGTGGGCATAGCAATCTCCCTCAGCAAGCAGCACAAACAGTACTAGATCAAGTCTGCAGTTAATTCTGTTCTCAGGCATCTGTGAGGGAGATCACTGGAAAATCCAAGTCTTATCTATTGACTTATCTGCAGACACAAAGGCTATTACAGAGGGAAAGAGAATATTCTGTTCCCTATAGCCATAATAGACAGAATGAGAAGCAATAGGTCTCGCTTGCAGCAGGGGAGTTTTGGGAAAGCAGTCTGACAGCCATGCCCAGAAACTACCTGGATCTGCCAGGAATGGAGATGTGGACTAGATGCAGTCTATCTTCCAGCCCTGTTTCTGGTGGTTCTCAGAAACCTTCTCTGCATTCCTCCACCACAAACTCATTAATCCTTGCAATGTACAGTATGATGTGGAACAGCATCTCCTGAAGCCATCTCTGCTGACTTTAGCCACAGTTGCAGAAGGGGAAATAGAATCTTGTCCAGTTATCTTGATGCTGGTGTTATGAAAGTTTCCATAACATGCAATGAAGCCTGTTTGGTTAAGGGCCAGACACTCCTTTGTCCTGACTTGAAGAGGAGAGGAGGAGAACCCAGCTTGAGCTGAGCACAGGGGAAAGGAGAGGGGAACAATGTCTCTGCAATGTGGTTTTGCAAAACTTCAACAGAATTGCTGTGTCTTGAGTCCTGGGGCACAGGACTTGAGCAATGCAGCATGGTACATTCTTCACAGAGCATACAAAGCAAGATAACCAGCAAACATGGGAGCGCAGGGAGGGGCAAAGCATTGATCAGTTGTAGCATCTGTAGTACTGGGAGGTCTGTACTACTGGGCCTGGTCCCACTTCTGCTACTGGTACCAAATGGGAGTACCAAGGGAACCACAGCAGCATGAAAATTGTGCCTGCTGCCAGAGGAAAGGGCTTGATGAATTCTCTGCAATGAAGTTTCCTCATTTTTGCTGGACTGAGACATTAGACTTATTAATGTGCAACTCAAATGTGACTCTCATTTATTCAGGGTTTGCTTGCACTGCTGCTAGTTCTTAAAAAAACATCTGTTTCAAATCCATTGGATTTGGGTCTTCTCAAATCACGTGATACTTTCTGTGAGTGTAGTGGGCCTCCTACTGCAGCATCTTCTGTAAGAGAAATTAACTCAGAATGGTGGCACTACAGATCTCATCACTTAATGCAACCAGACAAGCAAATCAGCTCATGCTTTTAAATTATCAGAAAAGAAACTTTGAGTGTTATTTACCTGCAAAGAGGTTCTACAAGGTCCTTGTCAAGAAAATCATGATCTTTCTTTACTGCAGCAATGTCAATGGGAAACTGTGAGTCTGTAAAAGGAGACACAGTATTAAGATGACTGCTTGCTACTCAAATGAAAATACAGTCTACATCTAAATTGCTTTGCATTTGCTTGCTCACTGAAATCTAGTATGACCAATTTCACTCAGCTCTGGTTCCCTTCCAGTTGTATCTGTGACCCTTTCTGACATTTTTTTTTTTAAAGGTATAGCTGAACATCAAGTGAATTAGAAAAGCAAAATTATTTCCATTTTGACTTTAAAAAATACTCAACTTTAGCTGTTCATTTTAATACCTTGCACAAATGGATGAGATGAGGGAATTACCACCACACTTACCTTATATACATGAGCAACAAGGTTTTTCCTTTCTCATTACAGTGACTTAATGAGGTATTTGCTAGACAGACTTTGCCCAAGCCCAGAAATATTCTGTGCATTTTTTTTTCTTAAACAGATACAAATAACAATGATTTCAGACAGAGGGTTACTCAAATAAAAAATAATAATTAAAAAAAACAACCAAAAAAACCCAAAAACTGAATTATAATCCCCAATATTAGCAAAAAAGCCAGAATAGTATGCTGGAAGCTGACATTAGTAATGAAAAGTGACACAGTTCTGTAATGGTGGGAAGGGTTCCAGTGCTGTGGCTGCTCTCCAGACTGCTCTGCCATGCTTAGGTACCTCAGCAGGATGCTGGGATACAGGAATGTCAGCCAGCATTTTCAGACACTACTGCTCAACACTGACATAATAGATGCCTGTGAAAAGCACCTTGTTTTCAGAGACACAGAGTGTCCAGAGCACATACTGACTGCATGGGAACAGCTGGAGCCCAGCACAGGTTGTGTCACAGCCCTTTGAGCTAAGCAGGCAGCAGGTGCTCCTTTCTCTCTGGATAGAGAGATAGATAGTGGCATCAGTATCTGACATATTCCAAATACAAGGCAGACACAAAAATACTCCTGGCAACCCAGGGACTGTGGTAGATACACATTTGTGTCATTTTTGGTCTGGTAGGCTTGCTAGTCTTAGTTCCTTGCTGTATTTAACAGAGTCTGTTTGCCTCCTTTGGAGCCACCTGAGCATCTCTGAATGGTGCTCCTGTCCCCAGGTGCCTGAGCAGCCCAAAAGGACCCAGCACCTGAACCCTGATGGACCTCAGCTGGCCACAGGGGTGTCCTCAGCATCCCACTCCCTGCCATCCTCAGCCCCACACGAGGGGAGGGATAGTGTCCCAGCTGACTCCCTGCAGACTTGGCTCTGACCCATGAGGCTCCTTGGCCCTCACTCCATGCGTGGATCTGTGCTGCCTCCAGGCTCATGCTGACCCTGGAAGGTATCCAGAGGTGTTTGGCGGAGCTGCCTTTTGGCTAATAAGCCCGAGTGGGCCTGAGCTGGCTCCATGTCTCTGGCAAAGAGAACACGCGTTTTGGGAAAAATGAGGCTCAGCCACAGTTTTCCTCTCAGCTGGGGAGAGCAGGAAAAACCCAGCTCCAGTCCCCAGACTACTACTGAATGGACACTGCTTCCCTGGGCATGAACTTTACACCTAGGAAGGGGACATCACCCTTTTGCTCTGAGTTAGCACTGAACTACTAGCTTTTCTTACTTTGCAAATGTGAAGTGCAACTCAGATTATTCACTTGTGGTAACTGCAGAGTTTTCAGTCTTCATTTCAGCATGATTGAAATTTTCAATAACTTCTAGTGTTTTAATCTTATTTCAGTAACAGTTCAGAAAGTTTTTAGAAAATAAACTCATGTTTTTAGATATTTTGTAGTTGTTTTTGTTAACCTTTGGGGTTTACACAAGCTCTGTCCCTCCTTTTCTTTTTTCTTTTTTTTTTAAACTTCCCATGGCTACGAGGGTAAGAATCTTACTTTTCTTTATGCACTGGTATGACTCCAGCAGCTGTGGCTTTGTGAAGCATCCAGCCATGGCCATAACTCAGTCAAATGTGGAGTTGGCTGACTGCAAGCTCTCCTGGCAAGGGCCCAGTGCACTTTCAGAACCGCGCAAAGAGGAGAAAGACCTACTTACCCTCATAGAACTGAGCATATTGGGGAAATCCAGCTGCACGTAACCAGTCACACGCTTCCTTTGCTTCGATTTCTGAGCAAAAAGAGGAAAGAGAAAAAAAGTTCACACTTTGTTATTTTGAATTAGAAGTTCTTTCAATTACAAAGTAAAACCGAAGAAATTTGGTAGGATCTATTTGCTGCTAAAGTACCGTCATCGCTCTGAACCACACTTTGTAGCACCAGAAGAGAGTCTCTCTGAGAAATCTGCCTGTCTCCACAGGACCCTGGGGTGCAAAAAGCCGCTTGGTGGCGGGGATGAAGTGTTAAACCATCTCCTTGCAGCAGAAGCTGCTCAGCCAGGTTTGTGGCTCTGTGATCTACCTTACCCCCAAGGGTAAGTTGCTGGTAAGGTGCGAAGATGGAGCTGGTGAAAATGGTGACAGGGAGCAGGCACTGCGTTCTTTCATGTTCTGACATTTCTTGTGGAGCAGAATGCCACATGAAATCCATGGAAAGCTCTGCCAGGATAGCCCCAGTGCAGGTGCCCTGATACTGACGGGACAATTGCTGGGGCACTTCTATTTTTACCAAGCTCCATGGGCTCATATTCTGGAAAGCAGTGTGCTGGGTCCAGCTCTTCCAGCACCTGCACTGCCTGCATGTGCAGCTGCTCCCAGACCAGCTGGGGGAACAACTGAAAACAGAGGCTCATCCACACAAATGTGGGTTTCAGGGGAAACCTGGGAAACACCTCTTTGCTGTCCAAACCTAGATCAGGATCTACCACTTGAACAGTTTTGGTTTACAGGATCAAAGTCAAAGCACGTATCTGCACCTCGTACATTTGCAAAACATGAAGAAACAGGGTGTGCAGGTGTTGAAGAAAGTAGACATTTTATGTTGCTTGTTAATCAACCTGAACAAACCAGTCAAGGCTTTTGGCACATTTGTGGTTGTAAAATCTAGACAGCCATAATACAAAACCCTAACTATAAAGCAAACAATGGAACAGGAAGAAGATGATCAGGCTCAGTTGCTCTTCTGCATATTTTGCCTTGCATGTGAAAAAAATTCCAGTTGTAAATCAGTTTTCTACTAAAATGCATTTTTATAGGGCAGAGATACTGGCATGAACTTTTGCCTGTGTTATTCTGTTCAGATCACTCATCATACCCTTAATGACTTTACCCACTGAAGCTCACTATAAAATCTGCTTTGAATACACTCTGCAGTGTGTGACCTGCACACCTTTCTGATCCCCTAAATAATGAATCACACCAGCAAATTTTGTGGCAGAAATCAAAATTCAGAATACAAGGTCTATGTGTCAAAAGCTCAATTTCCCAAAGATGATTAGACAGCCAGGAACAGCTCCACAATGGTCACAATCATTAGCAGTGCTGAAAAGGATTTACCACCAGGTCTTCATTTGCTTTGACATTAGTTCATGTCAAGGCCAAAAAACGGAGTATGAAAGTACATTCAGTTCTTGACACTGCACAAAAGAATAAGCAGCTTACATAAAACGTGGCTCTCACTACAGCACATCTGTGTGCTGAAAGCACATCTCTATTATGTTCCAGTTAGACTACTTCTATTAAATGCTTGGAAAAAAGACAAGCCTAAAGAGACTTTTTTTCTTTTGCTTAACTCAATCTCATGAAACACAGACAAATCAATCCCTTTTCAAAATGTATTTTACTACCCAGAACAGCTGTATGTACATTCTAGCTTCATCTGGCCTGGAAACACAACTGACAGAGGCTGTGGGTGATGGAGAATGCTACCATTTAATGCTCTTATACACTTATCATATTTCAATTTTTTTTTGCAGTTGGCTGCTCAGAGGAGCTTGCTGAGAAATATTGTTGCAGCCCAAATGAGATCTAAAAAAAATCTCAGGTTGCAATGGGTGAGTAATTATAGGGAATAATCAAGGAAGTAGATCTCACTTTTTTCTGAGGTTTTATTTTTAGTTTTGGTGTTTTTTTGTTTTTTTTTTTTACTTTTTTTTTTTTGATGAGGTTGCAACACTGCAATATTTTACTGCACTCAGTAAAATATCATTGACTGATTAACTTCTGCCTTCAAAACTTTGTATCCTCCATGAAGGCATTTCTGGGGAGTATTCTCATTTTCTGAATGACTACCTCAGCCTTGAGTAAGATTTGCTAAGCTTAAAGGATACTGAGTCTCAAGACATGTTATCAGTTCCCAGCTCCCTTGCACCATATCTCTGTTTCTGGTCTTATTCAGAGGACAGCATGAGGAGAGAAGTGTACCAGGCTGCTGGCACAGCCCAAAACATGACTTTGCTCATACAAGTGTGTTCCCACTGGCTACGGGCACCTGTTCCAGACATTCCCCTCTTGGTCCCTCCTACAGTTTAGGTGAAAAGGCACAACAAAGGATTCACTCCTCAGCAGACATCAAAGGTGATTTCTACTATTTTGCCCTGGGCATGTAATCTAAGTTATAGTTCAGAATGCAATATAGATGCTTTTATTACTGCATACTGCAATGTTTGAACAATAACTTGACATGCTAAGTTCAACCTTGTCTTTTTGTGCCCATATGCTAATATTTGCTTTTTCTTACTTTGTAGTGCAACATTAGTAAAAACTTGTTTGGAAAGATGTGCAGCACGCAAAAAGACCTCAGTGGAGATGTCAATGAAAGGGTGGTAGAAATACTTTTGGCAGTGTTGTCCTAGTTCTGTTCCCATGTCCAGGCTAATACAGGGGTTTGATTCTGCCTGCAGCACATGCCTTGGTGCAACACTGAAGGACTTGGAAACCCACATGTGTCCACAGGTGGCAGCAAGGCCGTTTGTTAACAGCACAGAGCAGGGCTGGCACGGTAAGAAAAGAGATTTCAGAGAGGACATGGCTCAAGGCTGGAAGGAGGCACACAGTTCCTCCAGTTCCTACCAGAAGCAAGTGAGCCACCACAAGCAGCATCTCCCTTGGCAGGACCAAAAAGGCTGCTTGCCCCAGCACACCTGATAATGGGTTTGTCCTTATGCACTACTGTTCTGCTCTGTGGCTGGAAAAAAAAAATAGGGATGATTTGCCTACTGTTTTCCACCTGCTTGGGCAGCAGTTAACAACAATCATTAATTATTAATGCTAGATAATAATTCAGTCCCAAATATTGACAACTGTCAGTATGCCTCACAGGACTTGAATTCTAAGAAGTTTTTTTAAGTTTCAGAAGAAAACAAATTTCTCTTTTCCATTTCATTTTTCTGCTACTAGTGAGTTATAATTCAGAGCAAAATGAGGAGAGGTTTATTCAGGAAAAATGACAAGTATTCAGAGCACAGCTGAATCTTGGCTTTGAGTCCATCTCTAGTATTAAACAGGTCTGAGCTTGTCTCCCACAAACCATATTGGTGGCTCTGGCTGTTCTGGGGCTGAAATGGAGACAGTTGTTTGCCATCTCTCCTGCTCTTCCAACATTTTCTCTGATTCTTCACAAACTACTTTGTTTCTGCCCAATGCCAGACAAAGAGTCTTGTAGCCAGCTGCCACCAAAGGGGACATCCTTGCCCTGCCTATCCAATGCCAGTTGGCTGCTTCTCCTGCTCCCGTCCCTGCCACACCAGCTCCTGGCTAACCCTTCAGAGACCTGGCCCAACCCCCTAAGCTGGCAGAAAACTAACCCTCCAAAGTGGGAATGATCTGCTGTTGGATTAGCAAGATGACTCAAATTTTCTAAGGGTTCAGTTTAACCTACATTAGCTGCATTTTAACAAGCCCAAGAAAGTCAAACCACTGGAACAGTCCTTCCTTTGCATGAAGGAACACAGGAGAACTATCTAATAAGTTGTTGGAAGAAAAGCTCTGTCAAGAGAAACTCATGTAAATAAATTAATTTTCTGTCTTGGAATTTTATCACCATCTACAAATATCAATGCTAAGACCTGGTTACTAGAGTCCTTTCCCTTTTCTTCTCTACATATCAGTATTTCATCTTATTTCTGCCTTTCTGCCATTGTCCCTGTCTCTTCTATCTTCTGTTTTGCTGTTTCTCCCTTTTTTTTCTTAAACTACATTTTTTTTTAAAATGCAGATGTCCCTTTGCACAATGCAGTGAAAGATTTAGCAACTAGAATAAATAAGGTACATAATCACCCCATCTATTTTGTTTATGTCAGCTTTATGTGATAACCTTTATTGTTCATCTTCTGTAACAAACCACTGTTACTTTCGCTTTACTATTCCCCCTGTATTGATCACTACTTAAATCTAATTTACTAGATTCAGATAGAATATTTGGGAATGTTAGAGAAAATGGTTAATCAATTAATTGGAAAGAAGTGCATTTTACTGTGGAGCCACATCAGTGAACAAGTGGTTAGGCTGAGGTTTTTAACCAAAGTTAAAAAGTTTTTACACCAACTTTTGGTCCAACTCTTTCCTGCAAGAGGAGGAAAACTGTTGGGATGAGTTTGTGCTGCATCTTCCATAAGAAAGCCTACCTGGCATTCTGAGATCAGTTTGGAGGCTCAGTTCAACCCAGGGTTTTAAAATGCCTTTTACTCTCAGGAATTGCTGCAGACCTCTACGAAAGGTAAACCAGAGAACACTCCTGGGGAGGAAACACTGATGATGTCTTAGACCTGAGACCTGCTCCAGGCACTGAATACACTGAGACAACCTTGTCTCGCAGGTCCTGGTACATCCCTTGTGTCCCATAAACCTGTCAAGTCATCAACAAGCAATGTCAGCACCCTGATGTCTTCTCAGAAGAATTCTCATGAAGATGGGAAGATGGGTTCTTTAGAAAAGTTCTTTGCAGGCTGAAGCTGTATGAGAACAGCTCTAGCATGTTTTGGCTTCTTCTTGCAGCCTCTCAGTCTGAGACACTGCAACAGCTGCCATTACTCCCCTGGCCTTGTAGCTCAGTCTTTGGGATATTTATCTGTTACTTTTCTTATTTTATGGATGGGGATTTAAAGCACTCCAGAAGTACATAAACGGGTCAGAGGTAAGGTTGATGGGAATTAGATCCCTCACGCTTATCTGGCCATAAAAACAGGGTTACGTCTCTCCTCAGTTATCCTTAGAAATCTAAATTCCAAATTTC